TTAAAATAGTTTTTTTTCTTTTTTTTCTTTATATATATATATATATTAATTTTAATTAATGCTATTAATTTTTTTTTTTGTAAAAAAGTGGCATAATATTAAAAGCAGGCAGTTTATAAATTATACTGAGAGCCAAGTATTAAAAGCTATAGTAGCTATCAATGGTGGTTTGTCATACAAAAATAATCATATATTCACGGGGTGCAATTTGGCACTATGTATAACAAAACTAAAAAACCTAATAGGAAAACCTGGAAAACCAACAGTTTTTATAAATATACAAGAACTAGCAGTTGTACAACATTTTATTGCTGTTTTATTGCTTTTAATATCATGAATTTTCGTCTTTTAGGAAAGTTTTGGATATTGAAGGCAAAATTGTTCCTGATTTTTACAATAACTTTCCTGGAAGAGACTGGCCTCTTTGTTTTTTAAATTGTCACAATGCTGATCTCACTTAGCGAATGAATCAGAATATGAAAAAGTTTTGTGCATCAGTTTCATCTTCTAAAGTTGATAAATTCTTTGATAATTTTAAAACTACATCAAAGTATGATAAAGAAAAACAAATTCTTTATTTTATTATCTTTAGCTATGATGAAACCAATTTGTCAGATAATCTTGGAACCAAATGATGTATATTTAAAAGAGTGATGAAGTATCCTGAACGTATTCAAAATAGTAGTAAGAGTGCTACATCAATCATGTTTTATGGTTTAGCCTCCGGTCAAATGGTACCTGCTTATATTGTTTATAAAGTTGACCATCTATGGACAACATGGACAGAAGGTGGACCACCTAATGTACGATATAATTGAAGTAAGTCAGGATGGTTTGATTCTGTTTTCTTTTCTGACTGGCTTGAAACCATGTTCATCAGATTTGTAAAAGATCTTCCATGACCTAAAGTTCTTATTGGCGATAATCTAAGCAGCCATTTCAGTGAAAAAGCACAGACTATTACAAAAGATAAATTTTTCTCCATATTGAAAATTTTGTATACTTATATATATTCATCAAATCAAGAGGTAAGAAGCAGTTTAGTAGCTGGTTTTAAAAAATGTGGTATTTACCCATTAAATGATAGTTTTGTTCTTAATCGTTTGCCAGATGTTGATAAAAATATTGAAGCTGTTCAAAACAATGTTAGCCTAGCAGTAATTAATATACTCAAATGATTGCAACATGTTGATGTTGAGGATAAAGAAAAGCTAAAACAAAATAAAAAAATTCTTGTTAACCCTGGAAAAAGTATTTTTTTAGAAGATTTTCAGGCAACATTTAGTGATGTTCTACTTGCATTTTCATCTGTAGGTGAAATTGTTATTTTATCTAATAACTATGTACGTAAAAAAACAAAGTAATGCAGACTCTTTTTATGCAGGTTCTGTTAAAACATCTCCATTGAGACAAAAAAAAAAAACTAGTTGGAAGTTCATAATAATCTATTGTTTTAGTAACAATAAATTGATGCCCAGACTGTTGTTTTTATTGAATTTGTAAACAAAGCAATATAATTTTAATTAAGTAATATAAATAAAAATTATAAATTTATGAATGCATAAAATTATAATAATAATTTATGCAAAACCACAATGTTGTTTTTATTGAATTTAAAAACAAAGCAATATAAATTTGAATGTTTTTATTTTACAGCAAAATGTATTTAAAGTTACCCCATTAGTGGGGTAACTTTAAATAAATAAATTAATATTATACTCTTCTTTTCATTTGAATATTATTTTAAATTTGAATTATGTAAGAGTCAACCATAGCCTTTATATGCATTTTATTAAATTTTAGTTATTGTCAATAATGAAAGATGGGCATATAAAAATATCATTCTGAGTTGATATATCAAAAAGTTTTTCAAGATCAGCCTGAAAAATTCCTTCTTTCACTTTTTCAGAAGTAGATAATCATTCTTATTTAACTTTTTTTCTGCATTATTAATTCTTTGAGTTGGTACTTTTCCTCTCTCCTATATAGCAAGAACTGCTTCAACTGTTGCCAGAAAACTTTCTTTCACTTTTGGTTTCTTTTCTAAATGGTGGAAAAGCAACCTTCGAAGTACATCGTCTTTTGAAGGATGTCTGGCAGTTGACAGAATTTGTGTAGGTTTACCAACAAACCACACCTCAGCAGAAGGTCTAGTGGTTGCCATATTATTAGTTTCTAAATTGAACAGAAAGCAAAATGTTATCAATAAAACATTATATAAAATATAGTTTACTGAGGTAACAATGGTAATAGGCAAATTAGTGAATAATACCCAGCAGGCATTTGTTTTTAAAAGTTACGTCCTAAAGTAATGCTCCAAATGTTAATAGCAGAACGCACAATTAGTGCATGATCTTGGTATCCATCTTACAAACATTGATTTTGCTCTATTATTTCCTTAAAGAGTGCTTTAAGGAAATAAAAGAACGATTGTCGTGTTTGTAAGATGAATACCAAGAAAATGCACTAACTGTGTGTTCTGCTATTAACATTAGGAGCATACCCAATTCCATATGTTTCAAAGAAAGGAAATAAAATTTTTGCAAAAATAGGAAGTTCATGATCTTTTGTAAAGTCAAAAATCAGGAATAAATCTTTTTTGTAATGGGTGTCTTGGTAGACAATATGGATACATGTCCACATGTAGTTATATTTGCCTAAAAAATTTTAAAACTAAAATTTGTGACGTTGAATGAAAATGAATTGACCGCATAAATTTTTTAATTGGTTTTCTTGAATTATTGTATGATTGCAACAATTAGTGTGTATGTTTTACATACACACTTCTGTTGATATTATTGATAAAAACCAGAATTTACTAACAAAATAATTAAATAATTAACATAAAAAAAAATAATTAACACAAAAAAAAAAAAAAAATTAACAAGCAGATACATATCTAATGAAGCAATGCTTTTAAGATATCATGAGCTAAGCATGGTGGCAAACCTGTAGACGCATAAAATCTACATTGGTGATTTCATCTACATGAAATTATTTAATGGTGCTTAAAATTTTATTTATTTAAAATTATTCTAAGATAATTGAAGAAGGCTATTATTGTTTCTTGATTTAATCAGGTTCACAGAATTGAGGGTAAAATGAAACTCTGCACGTGTTGCTAAACAGTATCTACAAAAATGCGAAACTTTTTAAAATTTTCACAAATATCCCCTCCCCCCAAAAAAAAAAAAAATAATATTCTTTAGTATACATAGAAGTTTTGTTTTTATTGATTTAAAAATTTAAAAAAATCTTGATAAATCATAAGAAATTAAATCTTATCATCAGACTTATCTTTAATTAGGGATCTACTCAGTAATTTTGTATATATACCAAAATTTATCACATTTTTTAGCCAAAAACCAGTTCCATTGCTGTATTTTTTGTACATAATTTTTATTAAGTTTCTTATTGGAACATGATGAACAGTTCTATACTTTTTATTGCCATCAAAATCTAAAGTAAATTCGATTAGAAATATGTAACTTATGTGTTTATGAAAATAGCCTTTCATTTTTTTACTAGTACTTAGAGTGTACAAACTGTTTATCTTTATATAACATTTTGATATAACATTTTCATGGATAGTACTGCTCTGATTGGACATTGCAGAAGACAGGCTTTGAACAGATAATAAAGTACTTAAATTATTAGCTACCATAAGTTTATCAAAAATAGATTGAACACAAGATGCTTTCCTAAAATGCTTTTTTGTTTAAGTGTGTTAACATCTTTATGACTGTTTAAATTAATTGAATAGAAAGCTATGTACAATATAAACTGACATAATAAAACTTACTGGATAAGCCATTGCTTGTGTTTTCTTGTTATATGAGATGCAAATGAATTTCGATTAGTGTAAGAACTTTTGCAATTCATATAAAGACAATGAACTGTCAAATGAGTCAAAATGTAATTTAAAATGAAAGATAAATTGAGATAGTTCAGCACATTTTTTTAAATTGTGCAATATCACATTTTTATATTTGGAAAATTAAAAGCTTAAAACGAATTTTTGCTTTTCTAAATTGTGACTATAGTAAAACCTTTTTGCTGCATTTCAGTTTATGAGGTTCATTTTAGTTCTCAAATGTCTATGACACAATGAAAAACTGAACTTTGATCTAATTTTTCTTAAATAACTACTTTTCTTTTTTTCTTTTTTTTTTAAAAAGTATTTTGTTTTCACTGACAAATTTATTTTTAGATAAATGAAAATATAAATGAAAAAGTAGTCAAATTTTATTCTCTTTTTTGTCAACCTTTAGCAAATGAATATTGGTGTAGTCACCTACGTTAATTTAAATATACCTTTAATACTAAAACTAATTTATTTAAGTCATTTTTATGCTTTTGAGTATAAAAATGAGTTAAATTAATTTGAGTATCTTTTTAAGTAGCTCCAAATATTTGGTGGATGGTTTCAACCCGTGCTTACCGCGCTTATTGCCTTAGCCACTTTACTTACAATGCAGTTATGCTCACCTCAAAGACCAATAAAACTAAATCTAGGTTGCAAGTTTTTCAAAATTGTTATCTTAAAGCTGCTGGTATTGATCCACATGATGCAAGCTACTATGGTATTCTTCCTATTGAAGAACATCTTAATTTTGTATGTCTCAGCACACTTAAACAAATTTTAAACAAGCCTAACCATCCAATCATACTTAGTCTAGATAAGAAACAATCACTCACGTTCCATTTTTAAATTTAATACCAGATCTGCAAAATCAACAATGTATTTAAAGACATATCAATAAAAATTTATCCTCCACCTTTGTAATGATGCAATTAAACCTGGAGCTATCTCTACCCTTTACATTACCTGAAATCATTCAATAGAATTTTTCCAAAATATTGTTCTATTAGTTTTTTGTAAACTCAATATTTATTTTAAGAAAAGATTATATATTTATGTTATCATATAAAATACATAATAAAACTAAAATAATATATTAATAATACATTCTAAATTTTATTAAAGTAATATATTTTAGATTGAAATTACATCTGCAACTCCAGCAGTTACATCTACTCTGAAATATTTTAATTTATATGTCGGTTAGAATTTTTTGTTAATATTTTTTGTGTTTTTATATATTACTTGTAACAAAAACTTCTTTAAAATTGTCAAATGTTTTTATAATTAACATTTTTGTTAGGTGGTAACTGCAACTCTTGTAATGCCAATCTTAGATGTATTTCACTACCAAATGGAGTCTCTTGTTTTTGTGACGCAAAAACATCTTGCACAGGGCTTAATCAACAATGCATTGTTTCAACAAATAATACATCAGCAAATCCATGCAGTTGTTTGCCTGGTTACACTCTTGATGATAATGGAAACTGTGTTTGTAAGATATTAAAGTTGACTTCACTTATTAAAAAAATTATAGTATATAGAGTTAAAAATGTAGAAATATAAATTGAATTTAATCAATTAATAATTTGGTTTTATTTTCTAGTTAATATTTGAAGTTGTTTTTATTATTTTTTCTTTTTATTCTAATAATTATTATTGTTGAGTTATCTTAGTTATGTCTTGTTTTACTAAAATATGTTTCTTGTTTTTAAACACATGCAATGTTCAATTTTATGTTATTTTTATTTGAGGATATGAATATGTCCAATTAAATATATTAAACAAAGTTTTAAAGTTTTTTTTGTTATTATCTTTGGTCAGATATTACAAAAGTTGCATATAAAATATTTTTTGAGAGAAACAGTGAAATAGCAAGGGTATCAGTACAGTGGGCTTATATGTAAAATCTGTTAGTATATATATATATTGAAATATATAGTTTACTGTTGTTTACTCAAAATATGTGCACAAATTAAAATTGCTGATATTTGAACTTTCTTTAATTCGTCAAAATATTTCAACTATCACTAAAAAATTTATTGTAATATAAAAATAAAGGAAAATGTTGTTTACTGGATTTAGGTTTGCTTAGGTCAAGATGGAACTTGATTTAAAACAATATAAATGAGGAAAAACATGTTTCATTTTCTATTAAGTTGAAACAACAACTATTTAACCCCTTATTTAGTACAGGTATATTTTTCTAATATTTTCAAAACAGCATCTCTTAAACCAATTCATAAAAAGGGCTCAAGACCTGACTGTAATAACTACAGACCAATATCATTATTATCTATTATCAGCAAAAATCATGAAAAATTAATGTATTCTTGTATCTACCACTTTTTTGATAATTCTAAGTGCTTATATGGCCGCCAGTTTGGTTTTCGATAAAAATACTCTACTTTCCATGCTCTTATTAGCATTACGGAAATGATTCGTGGTGCAATCGATAGTGGTTTATTTGCTTGTGGCGTCTTTATTGATTTCCAAAAAGCTTTTGACACGGTTGAACACAAGATATTATTTAAAAAGTTATACTACTATGGCATACGGGGTATTGCTAATAATTGGTTTCATCATATATTGAAAATCATAGCCAGTTTGTCTCCATTAATGGGTTTGAATCCTCCAAAAAATTTATCAAATATGGTGTCCCCCAAGGTTCTGTTCTTAGGCCTTTGCTTTTTTTAATATATATAAACGGCTTGTCTCACTCTATAAGCAATTCCACTGTTCACCATTTTGCTGATGATACCAATCTTCTATGCATAAATAAATTACTTACTCAGCTTTGTAAAAAAGTTAATTCAGATCTCCATCATTTGTGTCTTTGGTTAAATAGTAATCATATCTCTCTAAATATTAACAAAACTGAATTCATTATTTTTCACCCATCAAAAAAAATAATTAGTAATGATAATGTTAAAATTAAAGTTAACGGTAAAAGAATCTTTCCTTCTGAATTAATAAAATATCTGTGAGTATTTCTTGACAAAAACCTATCTTGGAATTATCAAATGATTCAATTAAATAAAAAACTCTCTCGAGCCAATAGTATGTTATCTTTAATACGACACTATGTTCCTAAACATACTCTAGTATTAATTTACTATTCCATGTTTTCATCCTATCTAAGCTATTATTGCGTTGTTTGGGGGTAACAAGGAAGTTTTCTATTAAATCGTATAAACAGTTTGCAACATGCTTCCATAAGAATTCTACGTTTTCTCCTATTCAATCTAATATCCAAAAAAGGTTTCCTGAATTAAAAATCTTACAATTTCAAGATCTTATAAAGCTTTAAAACTGTCTTTTTGTGTTTGATTTCCTCCAAAATAATCTGCCGCGTTCGTTTAACAATTTTTTCATTAAAGCAAGTGATACACATAAATACTATACTAGTATTACTATAAATGGTAATTTGCACCCTTCTTTTTTCAATACTGTCAAGTATGGAAAACTCTCCATAAAACATCAATGTATTTCTCACTGGAACCAATTAATACCTTTTATAAAAAAAAAGATTTTAACTAAATACCCTATTGTTACCAACTTTCTTCTTATCAACAGAACCCTAATTAAGAAATTTTTATGTGAGCAAATATCTAAAGAATATTTATGCTATCTTCTGATAATATTAATACGCTAATTTAATATTAGTCGAATTACGTCATTTTCTAGGCTTTTCTATTTTAAAGTAGTTTCTAGGCTTTTCCATACGCGGGTTTTTCTTTCAATTTTATTTACTAACAGTGCGTATTACGGGTTGCTTACTGCTAGTTTATTATTATTCCTTCAATATATTATTTAATTAATTACACTTATTTTTATTTTTTTTATTGTTATTATCATTCTTTACATTGTTACTACTACTATTTTTATTATTGCTATTACTATTATTATTTATATATCTTTGTTTTTATTGCCTTAATATTATTACCTATAATGATAGTCAAAGTAGGGTGTCATCCATAAAGTACCTACGTCAAAAATTTTAAAAAATTGACATCCCCCTTCCCCAAGTTGCCATGCATACTTTTTAGTCCTCTCCCCCCTTTGAAAAGTACGTACGCTTTTGTACCCCCCCCCTCCCCAATCTTCTTTTTTCTCTTTATGAGTTAAAAAGTTAAAATTTATAAAAAAAAACATTGTTTAAAAAATTTAAATATTAGGGATTGTCAATAAAGTACGCCGCGCATTAGTAAAAATAAGAAGTCATCAAAAAGTGGTGAGATTCTTTATATTTCAAAACCTTCCATTTCATTAAATCAATTGCTCAATACTTTTCAAAAACAATATGAAGTATAAAAGATTTTCAGAATTTCTTCATATTTCAGTTTTTAAATAATTAGCGCAACAACAGTCTTACTAAGGGTAACAAGTTTAAAAGCTAAAGTTTTAAAGTATTGTTAAACTTTAAATATTAATTTTTGAAATTGTTATGTAAATAGAATTTTTTATATTTTTTTAAACTTTATTTTGTAAAAATATTTTATAATAAAAATAAGATACTATAAATTATTTAAAAACTAAACAAACAACCCCCGTTTGCATTTATTGTAGCTTGTAAATTTAAGTTGTGCTTTAAATAGTCAGTTAAAAATTAGTTTGAAGGCGGAATTATTAAAATGAATAATAGTGAAAAGTACAAAATTATTTACCAACAAGTAGCAAAAGCTTTGCCACAAAAAAGTAAACAGGAGCAACAGAAAGAAGCTAATAAATTGTGGTATAAAGTCAAGCATAAAGAATTGACGTAGGATTTAGTTTTAAAAGAACTCACACGAAAAACAATGGAAAGTAAAAGTCAGTTGATGTCTTTTTAGTCTAATGTTAAAACATTAAATAATCAATCTATTGCAGTGAAGCTTCCTCTCACAAACGAAGTATCAGATGAGGGACCAGAAGCTTTGTTAACATCCGATGAAGCAGACAAAATAGATTTTGAAATCAATAAAACACTAGCTACTTCTTCTAAATTTGATATTCAAAAAAGTCAAAAATCACAAACGGATGTATCAATTGATCAGCCGACAAAATCTCATACTCCACAACAAGAGAAAATTCAAACTGAAATTTCACAGTTAAAAGAGCAGCTGTTTACATTGGTAAATGTGCGCCGTGCATGATTGATAACTGACGAACTTAAAATAAAATCAATTTTTTTAGAAAAGCAAATAAAAATAAAACAAAACCGTCTTAAAAAAATGAAAGGCGAGGCAATCCGTCAAAGACAACGCAGAGCAAGTTTGAAACGAACACTAAATGATATTATCGATGACACGCCCTACTTAAAATCAAAACTTTCTAAATTCAGTAGAGAAAAAAATGGTAGACCAGCTGTAATTAAAGATCAGCCAGATCTTCTTAATGCCATCGTTAACATTGCATCAATAGGAGCCACTGCTAGCGATCGACAAAGATCGCAGGAGTTAAGTTCATGTAAGACACTTGATGACTTAAATAAAAGCCTACTAAAACTAGGTTATTGTTTATCGCGATCTGCAACTTATTTAAGACTGATGCCTAAGCGATCAAACGCACTTGAGGGAATATGTCACATTAAGACAGTTCCTGTGAAATTGATCAGGACTGCTAATACAGCTCGTGATATAGGCATATCGATGCTGGATTTACATTTGTGTGCATGCAATACATGGATGAAGTTTGTTCAATATTTGGTCCAGATTCATGCTTTTATTTAAGTCTAGACGACAAAGCTAAAGTACCACTAGGATTAGCAGCTGCAACAAAACAATCACCAATTTTGATGCATCTTGATTATCAAGTACGTTTGCCAGATTATGATTTTTTAGTCGCTTCCAAATTTGCTGACGCAGTGTCATATTCTGGCCCAACGTATATTGCTATTAGATCTATGAAGCATGATAGCAGCACTGCTTTTACTCATGGCTCTGATTTTGAGCATGTTGTTTCAATTGAAAATTTTAAGCTTCATATTTGTGCTCCAGAAGGTCAGGTAAAACCTATATTTGCTGTTGCATGTGATGGAGGCCCTGATGAAAATCCAAGGTTTCCCAAACCATTGCAAATTGCAATTGCAAGATTTATAAAATGGGATTTGGATGTCTATATAACAGAAACTCATGCACCTCATTATTCAGCATATAACAGGGTTGAACGGCGTATGGCTCCGCTGAGTCGAAAGTTAGCAGGATTGGTTTTGCCACATGACCATTTTGGGACACATCTAAATGCATCTAGAAAGACAATTGACGTTGATTTAGAAAATAAAAATTTTGCTAAAGCTGCAGAAACTCTAGCTGAGGTATGATCGGATATAGTAATTGATAACTGTTCTGTTTGTGCTGAATATGTTGAACCTTCCCAACTGTCACCAATACCAGAGCAAGATTCAAAATGGATTGAAAATCACGTAAGATAAAGTCAATATTTTTTAATGATCGTTAAGTGTGATGTTCCGAATTGCTGTAAACCTAGGCGAAGTTGCTGGAAAAAATATTTTCCTCAACGTTTTTTACCAGGTCCAGTTGTAATGTCTCATACTGCTAAAGGAATTTTTATTCCTGAGCCAAAGGTAGCACGAAATATTCCTAAACCTTACTTTTCTTCTCTAGTGCAGCGCTTGGGATATTGGTTCAAAAATGTTGATGAAAGCATCCTTTGATTTGTACTGCCCATCAATTTTACAATAAAAAATTGATCAAAGAACTTGCAAATCCTACAAAATTTATCACGCTTCTAAAGCAAGTGTTAACGTCACAAATGCGTGTTTAGAAACATAATCAACGCGACCTCTGAGGAAAATAAAAATGACAATGAAAACAATGATACTCATTTAACAGTAAATGAAAGTAATTCTGATCAAATTCAAGTCATCGAAAACATATTTGATTGGGTGAAATCACTCTTTGATTTAGATCACCAACAATTTAAATTAATTGTTTAATGAAGACTATATTAATAATTTTGTTTATAAAATATTAAAACGATGTTTTGAAACCTATAAAGATAACGGTTTTTGTTTTAAATTGTGATTACTTAAAAAATTTGTTTCATCCTGCCCTTAACCGCAACCTAATCTTTAAAGGTACCAAACAAACATTCTCGCCAGTTTGTTGATTTTAAAGGTTTCCTGTTTGCCAGCAAAAGCGCTTAAAGATCAACTACACAAATCTTTCAACAAGACTTTTTTGTTTTATTTTTTGTTAATGATCTTTTAAATGATTGAAAAGTAATACACTTCACTGTCACCTTGATGTTCAGAGTTAAAAATTTTCCAACACTAAATTGATTGCTTGCATTTTTTTAGCTGAAATACTTTTCAAAAATTTATAATTTCCAGTTTTCTCAAGCTTTTTAGTTTATTATATTTATCAAAAAAATTACCCTATATAAGATGATGCAATTTTGTTACGTGGCATTTTTTATAATCAAGAAATAATAACTATGTTCTCATACAAAAAGAATTTTTGTATTTATATAAGATTGAGCACAAAAGTGTTTTCCTCACGGTAGTTATTCTCCTACTTTAATTGCGATACAACAACATAGGTGGAGGGTATGTAAAAAACTGTGACATTAAGATTTTGAAAGAAAGTTTCCAGGCTGGAGATAAAAACAATTGCTTTGACCATCGTAAGCAAATCATTAAAACTTTCTCTATTCCTAAATAACTAATAAACGTATACAAGTACATGAGTTGTTACATTTATAAAACACATCAAACAATAACTATGAGGTGCCAAATAAACGTGCCTGCCCGTTTATTTGGTTTAAATGTTGTGGATTATTTGCTAAAAACCCACAACATTTTAACCAAGCCCATTAAAACTTATTACGTTTTTGTTGTTAAATTTAAACTTTTTTACCAATTTTAAGGTTCCTTTAGTAAAAAGAACTTTAAAGTTTCCGAAAAAAAATTGTAATTAGATCTTTTTTAAGGGCAAGTATACTTCCCTCCCTCCCCAACTGACATTTCAAAGTCATGGTCATGGTTTTATTATTTAAAAAAAATTATTTATTTATTATTATATTCAAAAATATCTAGTTATTTATTAAAAATCATCTAGTTATAGTTGAGTATTTGTTAGTGGTGATAAGTTAGAAATACAAGCATTAACTAAGAAAAATTACTTTTTTTAATTAGTGCGTACGTACTTTTATATTCAACCCATCCCCTCCCCCCCTCCCCATGCGCTTGTGTATGCTTTTTGATGACCCTCCCTCCCCCCTATGAGAGTACGTACTTTATGGACAACCCCTAGTTCAGTAGTTGCAGTAGCTTTATCATTATTGTTATAACTAATCTTTAAATTGTCTATTTTATAAATATTAACTATGCTATAATTATCTTACTATTGTGTTATTATTTATAATTATCTTACTATTATAATATAATTATCTTACTATTGTGTTATTATTTATAATTATTTTTACGTTGTTATATTGCAGTTATTCTTTTTTATTTTATTTTTATTTATATTATTGTTACTATTATTATTTTTATAAATATTTTTACTTTTAACTTTCTTTTCTTCTTTTTTTTTTTTTTAAATCTTCTTTATTGTAATTTTTGCTTATCTTTCTTTCCTTTTTTTTTTTTTTTCTTTTTTTTTAGGTATCACTCCATTGACTAGTTTTCAACTATGTGAGGGACACCTAACCTTATTTATGTACATTTATAATTTATCATTGTAAATTTTTATTATTTATGGTTAAATAAATAGAGGAAAAAAAAAATATATGTATATATATATAAATTAGTAGAAAATCACTTAGCAAAATTTTTTTTCATTTAACACTGTGTTTCATCAATAAAGACTCATCAGAAATGTATGATCAAATTAATAAAACTTCAATTTATACCAAAAATTAAATTACAGGAAGTCACATGTCTTAACTACTGCCATTTTTCACACAATTTTTCACATCACAAATTGTGTAATTTGCTGACACTATTGTAAAAAGAATTCTTTAGAAATGATTACTTAAGCTTTTTTAAAAAATAATATTTTTTTTTCAAAGGGGAGTTAATGTAACTATTATTTGAGCTCACTTATTTTTATAGTTTTTTAGGAGAAACTTATTTTCGTGCCTGCATTTAGAAATCAATTCTGATTTTTTGTTTAATAAACATTCTTGGTTTGTATGTGTAATAATTTCAAATTTTTCTTGTAGACATAGTATGCATTTTTGAAATGAAATTTTTAAAAATATTGGCATGAAAGCCAATATTTTTAAAAATTTTTAAAAAGCTTTTAAATTGAAATAAACATAAATTTAAAAATTGTGAACTTTCTTGGTGTCACATTTAACCTCTCGGAAAATACATATAAGCCTTTCAAAAAACCAAACGATAAATTTTTGTATATTAATATTAACTCAAATCATCCGCCCCAAATTCTAAAACAAATCCCGATTTCAATTAATAACAGGCTTAACCAAAACTCCTCTAATGAAAATGTATTCAATTCTTCTAAACAGATATTTGAAGATGCCCTTAAAAAAAGTGGTTTTAAAAACTTTGAATTAAAATTTGACCCTGAAAAAAAGAATACAAAAAAGCGAAATAGAATTAGAAATGTAATTTGGTTCAACCCCCCATATAGCAAAAATGTTTCCACAAACATAGGAAAAGTGTTTTTAAAATTGATCGATAAGCATTTCCCGCCCTCTAATAAATTACATAAAATTTTTAATCGAAATACTATTAAAGTTAGCTACAGTTGCACAAAAAATATGGAAAGAATTATAAAAGGTCACAACAATGCTTTGTGAAACAAAAAAGAAATTCAAAATGAAAAAGCTACAGAAAATTGTAATTGTAAATAAAAAAACAATTGTCCAATGAGTGGAAGTTGCTTATCAAAAAATGTGGTATATAAATGTGTTGTCTCCTCTAAGAATGTACCTGATAAACAATATATTGGCATAACAGAAGGTGAATGGAAAAAACGTTTTGCCAATCATAAGCAATCTTTTAAAAATAAAAAGTATTCAAAAGACACCATGCTGTCAAAATATAAATGGGAATTAAAAAATGAAAATATTGATGATTTTACACTGAATTGGTCTATCCTTAAAACAGTGCCTGCATATAACAATATTTCCAAAAAATGCATACTATGTCTACAAGAAAAATTTGAAATAATTACACATACAAACCAAGAATGTTTATTAAACAAAAAATTGGAATTGATTTCTAAATGCAGGCAAGAAAATGAGTTTCTCCTAAAAAACTATAAAAATAAGTGAGCTCAAATAATAGTTACATTAACTCCTCTTTGAAAAAAATATATTATTTTTTAAAAAAGCTTAAGTAATCATTTCTAAAGAATTCTTTTTACAATAGTGTCAGCAAATTACACAAATATGTGAAAAATTGCAGTAGTTAAGACATGTGACTTCCTGTAACTTAATTTTTGGTATAAATTAAAGTTTTATTAATTTGATCATTCATTTCTGATGAGTCTTTATTGATGAAACACAGTTTTAAATGAATAAAAATTTTGCTGAGTGACTTTCTACTAATTTGTAATTGCTCTGTTCTTTTAAGTGCATTGAGCACTCTTTTTGTAGAATACATTTTAAATTAAATATATCTATACTTTTCTATTTTAAACCCATTAAAAAGAATCATAAGTTTTAAATCATTCACGTATTTATAATGAAAAAAGCATTTTGTGCTTCCATAGTTACAGCTGTTTGCTCTCTATAGAACTGGAAGAATTTAGCTAAAATCTTTGCTTATAGGTATAACTTTTCTGTCTAAAGGATAAAAAATACATATTTAAATTGGTTTGGTAGATCTATATTTTCCACTTTGGTTTAAAAATTTTTTTTATGGAATCTCAAATAAACAAAATTACTATAGATAATAAATTTACAGTTTCACTGAGATGCTTGTCACAATCATCTTAAACATTCACCCTTTTTAATTTCTTCAACTTACCTCAAACTTCTATACCTTTTAAAACCTATCTACCTTGAATCTTGGGTTGAAAGTAAAACAAAATTATTACACTTGTGCGTTATAACCTTGTCTATTAAAATTACTCAAACCCTAAAATCATACCGCAAATAGAATTATTCACAAGAATAGAATGTTTTTATAACGATGCTTTTTCCTCTAAATTAATAATTTCATCATTTACCAGATGCAAATAGAATAAAAGTACCTTGGACAAATAAGTAGAACAGCAGTAATTCCAAGTAAATAAATATAACTTATTTATTTCAACCATCAACTTTAAATTTAACAATTCCAGAATATATATATAACCTTTAAAAATTTATAAAAAAACACATTTAAAAATATATTCCAACATCATTAAAAGTAGAAAAAAATGACCTTATTAATACATATAAAATAATTTTTATATTTTTTTTAGATGCAGCAACAGAAGATACAACAACAGAATCAACAACAAGTTCTACGGATACTTCATCTACTTCTACTGACACCTTATCAACCCTGACAACTGACACATCAACAACTTCAACAGAATCAACAACAAGTTCTACCGATCCTTCTTCTACTTCTACTGACACCCCATCAACCCCGACAACTGACACATCAACAACTTCAACAGAATCAACAACAAGTTCTACCGATCCTTCTTCTACTTCTACTGACACCCCATCAACCCCAACAACTGACACATCAACTGCTACATTTGAATTTTCTTCATCTACAACTGGAGTTTTTAGTTCTTCCGTTGTTTCCTCGGATATTTCTCATACCTCCACCTCAGTATCTACTGCTTTTCCTGGTTAGTATTTTATTTTTCATTGTTTTAATCACATAATTATTTTATTTTCATTAAATAAATTTTATAATATCTCTAGATATCTTGTAATTTTTATTGCTTTTTTTTTACTACCTCCTTTCTATATCTTTTCAGTTATTTTATAGGTTAATGGTTGTAATACTGTTGTCTTATTTCGGCTAGTTTTTCTAATGATGCTTTTTCTCTTTATAGACAAGGTTTAAAAACTTATTGTAAAAATAATTGGCCAGATCTTTCTTCTAATCTGAGTCTCTTTCCTATTTTTGTAAGGTTTTATCTCTTTCTCTTTTCTACAAATATGATCATAGTTGCTGCTCTATGGAGCTATCATCTATAGTTTCGTCAACATTATCTTATTCTTGCTTGACTCGTCACTCAGGAAAGTTTAATTTTGTTTTTGTATCTGTCCCTGCATTCTTTTAAAAATTTTAATATGCCTGTACATCAACTCTTTGGTACTTTATCTCATCTTTATGTTTTCCTGATTCATATTTGTTTCATCTTTTTAAGTTTACTGTCAACTGTTTTTTTGCTCTACAGCGTTAATCTTTTTTTCTAGTAACTCCCAACCTAATAATGGTTGCTTGCAGCCTTGTTGAGAATACATCAGAATACAATGCTTTTAGGGTAGTGCGTAAAAGTTGACTCTGTACCTAAGTATTTTCTGTTTAAGATTTCACTACCCTAGGAGAATGTTTTCTGCTTTAGTAAAGGTTGTGAAATTTCAAAAATTTTGTTAAATCTTAGATTTTTTTTTTGTTTGAAAAACTTTTTAAATGTCACTTTGGTAATTTGCTATAGTGTGCAAAAGTTGCACCTTTTAAGTATGGTTACTTACGGTGCAAAATTCCACAACACAGACAATATGTTCTTTTAAAAATAATAAATTGTAAAATCTTCAAAGTTTTAAAACTAAGGAAAAGGTTGGCCAATGTTTGGATCACCGACAGATATTGCAAGGATGCTTTGTACGAAAGAGGAAGTTATTAAATGCTGCATTCACAAAAGTTCACTTCTTGGATCTAAAACATCTGGTAACTAGGAACACTCATTTTCTTCCAATCGCAGAGCATGTATGTGTATAGCTGCAAGTGCTGTCTTTTCATGCATCCATTCCTGTAGTTTTAAAAAGTCGTGTCCTTGATATGATTCATGCGTATCACAAGAACTATATTAATATCAAGTCTGTTTATAAGAGAATAGAGAAAAGCTTGGCATCTAAAACAAGCGTAGAAAAATGTAAAAAAGAATCACGTTTTCTTTTGGATATAGCAGCTTGTATGTGCTCTGCATTTCAAGACTGCAGTTGTCGGGAGGAATTCAAGGTCCCTTTTAAGGTACAGATATTTCTTGCTGATCAGAGAACAAAGAACTTAATGTGTATTGGATTGCTCTATTTGCCAAAAGCCAAAAAGCTTCAAGTACGTGCTGAAAGTACGACAAAAAAGAATTTCTTCATTTTTTTAAATCTACTGTGTCCTGCTTATTGCAGCCTGATGACGATGAACCCTTGTAAATCATCAATGTTCTTTGAAGATGATAATGCATTGGATGAAGATAAGGAACCTGATGACTATAATTATAGTCCTAGACCATCAATTTAATAAGCCATAGTTTTGGGGTATCGCTTTAAGCCACTCAACCATACCTTCTAGCATTCCACAATTTAGGTCTAATCACTGAATTACATACATATTAAGTGATTGATAAGGACAAAGCTGTTAGAGAAAGGTATTGAGCCATGCAAGGTCAGAGTTTGGATATTGATAGTGATCATTTGATAGGTCTTTACTTCGACAGTAAAAAAAAAACATTGTCAACAGAAATAGTAGAAATAGTAAATACTATCAAAGAACAGGTGTAGAGGAAGACTATTATATGGTGAATGATCCAGGAACTAGCTATGTTAGTCATGTTAGACTAGTTTCAGGTTAAAGTCTGGCTATTGCTAAAAGTATTTACAACTATATCACAACAACACTGACCCAGAGATTTAAACCTCATTCTAGGATGTGATGGGATGGTTGTAAATACTTTTTGCTGTTTGTTCGAGTCCCTTGATGGTTCTACCTTTGGACCTACTTTCTAATCTAGTTGCATTAGGAAATCTTAAAAAGCAGGTGAGTTGTTGCCAGTGGTAAAATTTGAGCTATTTAAGTGCACATTGCCATCAAATGATATATCGACTTTGAGTAAAGACCAGAAGTATTTTAGGGAGATTGCTCTCACCGTTACCTCAGGCATGTCTCCACCAGGTCTTGCTAAGCATGATCTAGATCCCCTAAACATGTACCGCTTGTTGACAACAGCCACGAGAATATTATTACTGTATGTTTTTACCACGGAATCATTAGACTACTTACTTACCATAGTAAAGTTCATTATCAGGGTGTATGTGTCATTTGGGTGTGTCAATTTTAGACTTTTTTTGAAAAAAAAGTATAATAAAATTTGGGGTATAACTAAAAGTTGCGAAATTTTACAGAGAATCTAAATCTGTTAAAATTTTATTTAAATCAGAAAAATATTTATTGAGGTGTTTAGCCTTTTTATAAAAGCATTAACGGTTTTTATTTCCTTTTAAACGGAATAACGACGTTACCGGACAATACTGTACGTAAAAAGAGGCAGACTTTTAAACAACAAAACAAATTTACATTAAGTTTATAAAAAAATCATTTAATTTAATATATATAAAGTTTTTGAAAATTTGTGTATTAAATACGTAAATTAACTTTTTTAAAAAGAAAAAAATTACTCAAACATAATTTTTTAATCTTAATAATGGTCAGTAAATGAATTTTTCATTGCCGCATTTTGTAAACAACTGCGAACTAAATATAAATTTAAGAACTTTTGATCAATTGTTTTCATTCTTAAAATATTTAAAAAAAAATTTTTTTTATTACTAAACAATAATAAGTTCTCTTTAAATATTTTATAACTTGGAGGAATAACGGCACCCAAAACCAGAATGAGTACTTGTATGCAAATTAGTGTTGCATTTGGTACAGGAAAACAATTTCTAGTTTCAGAATTACCAACCAATAGAGATGTTATAAGATATGCAATTTTATTAAGAGAGGGCTGCGAAGACATAAAAAAAACAAATTATCTTGTAAAAGAGATGGCCAAAGATATACTTCCAGCTTTATTACACCAGTGGTCGAGTGCAAATTTGAAATTTACATCGCCTAAATTAATTACTGACAAACAATTTGTGATAAAATACTGACTTTGTGGAACAACGCTTCAGCAATAGCTTGTATAAGAAATAAAGGAGCAAAACAAATAATAAAATTTAAAGAAAAACTTGATAAACATTTTGATATACTAGTATGCAAATGTTCAATTGTAAAATGTGATGAATTTATTTGTTCTTATGATTGTGATAAAGAAGTTCATTGTAAATGCAAATGTATCAAAGAGTACATAATACCATCTATTGACGTTAAGTTTATATATTTTAAAGAATTTAAACAGGAACTGTTAGCAAGTTTCAAATTGGATTACCTGATAGTATTGAAACCAGGAAACAGTTCAAAAGATTACTTAGAAAAGATCGAGAAAAATATTTTGAAAATAAAGGCAGCAATGTTATTTTAACTAAAAAACAAAAAATTGAGTCAGATCAGATAAACTTTTAAAAAGAAAGTGATTTTAGTAATGAAGTAGAATTTAATGATAACACTGATGATATTACTAATGTAGAATTACCTCTAGTACTAGAGAAATCATCAGGAAAAAAAAAGTGTTACGATACCTTAGATACTTCACACATAGCTATGAATAGCGTAAAGTATAGTTCTTTTTAAATAAATTAGTTTTTTAATAATGTGTATATATATATATATATATATATATATATATATATATATATATATATATATATATATATATATATATATATATATATATAAATATATATATATATATATATATATATATATATATATATATATATATATATATATATATATATATATATATATATATATATATATATATATATATATATATATATATATATATATATATATATATATATATATATATATATATATATATATATATATATATATATATATATATATATATATATGAACTTAGTCAATGATGATTTTTTATTTAAAAGTAATTCTATTTCTATGTAAATTTTGCTCACATAGATATGGGGTATCTGCACGTGCTACAGCTGCAATTGCTACAGCAACACTAATTGATGCAGGATTAATAACATCTAATGATAAAAAGTTAATTATTGACCATAGTAAAGTTTCGAGAGTGCAAGAAAAAGTCTCTGATCTTAGTAAGGATTTTGACAAAATAGCAAAAAGTGGAGAAGTGAAATACATATTTTTTGATGGAAGAATTAATCAAACCAAGCAAATGATTGAACTTGATGACTCAGTAACTTCCAGTAACAGTGAAAGTAGAACATTACTCTGTTTGTATAAAACCTGGAGGAAAATATTTGTTTCACTTTACTCCTGAGAAAGCAACAAAAAGTGTTAGACATGCAGAGATTATAGCAAATAAAATTGTTGAATGACTGACTGAGAGAGGTATTGACAAGTCTTTACTGGCTGTTGGTGAAGACTTTACAAATGTAAGCACCTGTTGGGAGGGTGGAGTCATCAAACATATAGAAATAAAATTAGGAAAAAAACTTGTTTGGCTTATATGTCAACTCCATACAAATGAGTTGCCACTGAGACATCTTATAACCAATTTAGATGGTCAAACAAAATCAAACAATAAATGGTCTGGTGTTATTGGTTCCATGCTTGATCATGCTACAGATCTAGATATAAATCCAGTATTTGAAACTACTAAAATTTTCAATCCACTTATTTCTTTCGATGATAAAATAATAAATGACCTGTCTGCAGATCAATTTTATGGTTATAAAGTTGTTTGTGCCATTAGAAGTGGTATTTTACCACCAAAATTTTATTTATTACAAATTGGGCCTGTTTCAC